TCAAAACATTAACTTCCTTCTTTTTAATACTGAAATCTCTGGAGCTTTTCTGGGAGTGGGTAGGTGGGTGTGGGGGGGTGTGGGTGTAATTCCTCTCTTCTCCCTTTCTCTCCCTGCCTCCACACAGAGATGGAAAACCTTATGTAAAATTGTCATGGGGAAAAAAAATTCTTGCTGTAATGTTAGCACTGAAGGTATTGCTTCAAATAATAACCACATCCTCTGTGGGTTTAATCATTGTTTTGTGGTAGTTATTCTTATTTAATTAATTACACATAACAGTCCTCAGGAAAGTATTATTAGGGATTTTTTTCAAAGATATATATGGCTACAAAGAGAGTTGTAATTTTTTGTCTTCATCTTTATTCATTTCTCTGTCTGTCCTGATTTCGACTGGGATGGAGTTAATTTTATTCCTAGTGGCTGGCATAGTGCTTTGTTTTGGATTTAGCATGAGAAGAACATTGATAACACACTGATGGTTTAGTTGTTGCTGAGCAGTGCTTACACCAGTCAAGGACAGTTTTCTGCTTCCCCTGCTCTGCAGGGGCACAAGAAGGTGGGAGGGGGCACAGCCAGGACAGCTGACCCCAACTGGCCAAAGGGATATTCCACACCATATGGCATCATGCTCAGTATAGAAACTGGGGGGAGCTGGCCAGGGGGCAGCGATCGCTGCCTGGGGACAGGCTGGGCATCGGTCAGCGGGCGGTGAGCAGTTGCATCACTTGTTTTTGCTGGGTTTTGTTTCTCTCTCTTATTGTTTTCCTTTTTGTTACAATATATTTTTATTTTATTTTATTTCAATTTATTTCAATTATTAAACTGTTCTTATCTCAACCCATAAGTTTTCTTACTTTTGCCCTTCCCATTCTCTCCCCCATCCCACTGGGGGCAGGGGCAGTGAGCAAGTGGCTGGGTGATGCTTGGCTGCTGGCTGGGGTTAAGCCACGACACTATCATGTTCATCATTATGTCATTTTGATAATATCCAGGCTAACTGTAGTAGTTCCTCCTGAATGTGGAAAAGACGGAAACACATGCAGTAAGGATTTCATCACAGCTGGAGATTTTTATTTAAAGCTTTAAATAAAGGAAGTCGCCTTTCTTGTATTTTTTCTTGCATTTCTGCTCTCGCTTCACTTTACTCTCATGTACTTTTTCTAAAGAACTCTGTTTTGTGGAGCAATTAAGACATAGTAGTAATGGCCAAAATCCATCTTGACTGTTATCAAAGTGGGTTTTGCAGTCCTTCTTTTAGTACTTTGATGGTAACATCAGACAATGTGATATGCTGTTACCCCTGGTGTCTTTCTTGCAGTTTCTCATTTTATACAGGTTTAGTTTGATATATAATTTGATGCCCTTAAATTGTATGGCCGTGGAGATAGGTCTGAACAAGGTTATAAAGGTTATTAGTCTTTTAGCTTGCTTTCCAGCGACCCCCTGCACACCCCTATTGACACGACAGCCTGCACTTGGGGAACACCACGAGCAGTCCAGGGCTTTGGAGGCTTCCTCTGCGCAGACAGACATGGCCATGAATTAGTAGTAGAAGTAGAAAAGAAGCAACTCTGAAAGCCTTTGCTATTTAGGCACTACTAAGCAGCATCCAGGCTGAGATCTGGCTTTAGACAGTTCAATCTACATCTTTTGGAGCATCAAGTTCTGGTGTTTAATGGGCTTGAGAGAAGCATTGGCAGTTTCCATAAGGCATCTAGTCAGTTGGTGTAGTTCTGCTGAAAACATACTACTAGGAAAAACTGTGGTGGGAAATGTGTTTTACTAGATTGTTATTTCTCTGTTGAGTGATAGCATGCTTTTGTTTGACAAAAAATACTCTTAAGGAGAACCTAAGGTATAAGCCAATAAATTGTATTAAGCTCTTGATAATTTACTTTCTATAAAACCAGTTTGGTCCTAGTTTCTTCTCCATACTCCCAGTTACGTAGTCTATGTACCTAAATTATCCCATTACTGAAATTAGAAGACATTTAAAGTGTTCTTCATTGCCAGGCAGCAGGCCCAGCTAGATAAATAGCACTTATGACTGCTTCAGGTTATCAAGCCATTTGTCTGGTTTATTTTTGACATTTCAATGGTTCAAGTTAAAAGATACTCTCTCCTCTTACATAAAACTGTTAGCCTCTGAACTTTTTGTTCAAGTAAATAATTTTTTTATTTTCAAACATAGGGTCAAACAGCCCTCAGTGATAAAATTTTACACATAACAAATCCTGGTGTTGCTAGGCACTACTTTAGGTATTCTTCCTGCCATCTTTATGCCTGTAGCTAATATCTCACTATGAAAATGGTTTTGATTATATTTTTTCACTTATTAAGCAGGGTTTTTTGTGTTAAATCAATACTAATCCATGGGTGTTTTTTCTCTCCCTTATTTTTAGGTCATTGGAATACTGGATGTGTTCACACCAGATGTTACACTGGAGAAGTTTAATGACTTGTAAGTTCTGAGTTGGTTGTGTTTGGGAGCAGGGCATCATTGCTTCTGTGGGAGGAAGGGTTGTTGCTTTTTTAAATGGAGAATTCCAAAATCGTTGCTTTGTGGATTTTGTTCTGAATTTCATATTAATATAACTCTTACGTGCACCTTCAGAATTGGTAGGCTGAGGTTTTCAGATTGTTATTAGAACCAGTTACCTATCTCATAAGGTGTGTACTTCTTTCAGCCCTTAATAATTGGCAGTTTGGTGGATTCCCTAATCCACCCTTCAAGTACTGATTCCTTGCCCTAAGGCCCAGGTTGCCCAAATGATAGGACAACTCTTAACCCAAACAAGTAGGCTGAAAATGATGCGTGCCATACGACATATCTCCGGTGCTGAATTTTTTAGTGGTTATGCGCACTGTGGTTTGTTGTACTCCCTGACTGGTTTCACAGTCCAGTGGTCCAAACAGGAGAAGATATGAATTGTTCCTAGCACCAGGCACATAAGTCTCCCTGTCCTTTTGGCGGCATCTCAGACACAAGATATATAGCATGTCTGTTGTTTTGCTTGTGGATCCTGCAGCAATTCTTCTGAGTTACAGTCACTAGAGAAACAGTAGTCAGAAGTCCTGGTGGGCTTAATGTACATTTCATGTTAGAATCATAGAATCATTAAGGTTGGAAAAGACCTTTAAGATCATCAAGTCCAACCATTAACCTAGCACTGCCAAGTCCACCACTAAACCATGTCCCTAAGCACCTCGTCTACCCATCTCTTAAATACTTCCAGGGATGGGGACTCAACTGCTTCCCTGGGCAGCCCATTCCAGAGCCTGACAACCCTTTCAGTGAAGAAATTTTTCCTGATGTCTGACCTAAACCTCCCTTCGTACAACTTGAGGCCATTTCCCCTCGCCCTATTGCTTGTTACATGGGAAAAGAGGCCGACTCCCATCTCGCTACAGCAAGGAACCCCAGTTCCCTCAGCCGGTGCTCATCAGACTTGTGCTTCAGACCCCTCACCAGCTTTGTTGCTCTACTCTGGACATGTGCCAGCAACTCAATGTCTGTTCTATAGTGAAGGGCCCAAAACTGAACACAGTATTCTAGGTGCAGCCTCACCAATGCCGAGTACAGGGGCACGATCACTTCCCTGCTCCTGCTGGCCACACTATTCCTGATACAAGCCAGGATGCTGTTGGCCTTCTT